CACAGACAAGGCCCACCCCGCAACTCCCCCCTCCCCCCCCCCACCCCCTGCCCCCTCTCTCCCCCCCCCAACCCCCTGCTCTCTCTCACTCTCTCCCCACACTAACCCCATGCTCTCTCTCTCTCCCCACTCTAACCCCATGCTCTCTCTCCCCACACTAACACCGTGCGCACTCTGTCTCTCCCCTCACAGTAACCCCGCGCTCGGTCTCCATCTCTCCCCACAGTAACACTGCACTCTCTCTCTCTCCCCCAACACTAACACCGTACGCACTCTCTCTCTCCCACACAGTAACACCATGCTCTCTCACTCTCTCCCCACTCTAACCCCATGCTCTCTCTCCCCACACTAACCCCGTGCTCTCTATCTGTATCCACCCACAGTCACCCCACGCTCTCTCTCTCCCCACACTAACCCCATGCTCTCTCTCTCTCTTCCACCACAGTAACCCCATGCTCTCTCTCTCTCTCCACCCACACTAACCCCGTGCTCTCCCTATCTCTCTCCCCACGCTAACCCCGGGCTCTCCCTCTCCCCACAGTAGCCCCATGCTCTCTCTCTTTCTCTCTCCCCCTACAGTAACCCCGTGCTCTCTCTCTCTTTCTCTCTCTTTCCCCACACTAACCCTGTGCTCTCTCTCTGTCTGTCCCCACAGTAACCCTGTGCTCTCTCTTTCTCTCTCCCCACAGTAACCCCGTGCTCTCTCTCTCACCCCACAGTAACCCCATGCTCTCTCTTTCTCTCTCCCCACAGTAACCCCGTGCTCTCTCTCTCTCTCTCCCCACAGTAACCCCGTGCTCTCTCTTTCTCTCTCCCCCTACAGTAACCCCGTGCTCTCTCTCTCTTTCTCTCTCTTTCCCCACAGTAACCCTGTGCTCTCTCTCTGTCTGTCCCCACAGTAACCCCGTGCTCTCTCTTTCTCTCTCCCCACAGTAACCCCGTGCTCTCTCTCTCACCCCACAGTAACCCCGTGCTCTCTCTTTCTCTCTCCCCACAGTAACC